TGAAGTTGTCTGGAGGCTGTGGTTGAAGCCAATGGTGATTTTATTGAATAAATTTACTCTTTAGTATTTCAAGATATTTTTGTGTCATTTTAGTAAGTATTTCTGTTAAAACGAGATGTCAGCATTATTTTCATTTTTGCATCATTCAGATGACAATTTATCCATCGCACCCTGTGCACTTGATAGAGTCTGGATGGTACAGTGACTGAAATGTTGTGGTAGCAACAAATATGAGCACAGTAGTCCAAATGTAAATTGTGTAAATAATCTGAAATATGTTCCAGCTTTAAATAACCCACAAAGGGTTGATAAACCATAAAAAAAAGCAAATCAATGCCAAGATTGGTTTTTAACAGCATTACCGCCAAAAAAATTGCTCAAGCCCCCTCAGCTCTCCCCCTTTTTGAGGACGCCTCCTCGGAAAGGAGATGCTCTGTTGGTAGTATTATTTTCAACTTGCCCAGCCTAAGCAATCGTCTGGGCGCTAGGTAAGCATACCTTTACCATATTAGTCTTTTATCGATTTATATTGCTAACAAATAACATTTGCAACGTAAGTGGCAATGTCTGTTTTACAAAACCTATTTTTAAAAGCATATTTTTAAAAAAATATTTAATGTTTTATTTCTATTTTTAATTAAAATTGAAAAAAACATTGCCACAAACAAGCAATGATTCTGACAAGGTTTCTTTTAAATTCATCATACATGAAGTTCTGTGATGTTTTAAAAATAAATGTCTCTGAAAATTTTGTCTCAAGTTCATCACATCCATTTTGGTATGAAGTGAAAAGATTTTTTTTTTTTTTTTTGATAAACCGTACTTCCAACCAAATCCAATTTGTATTCTGAAATTAGAATTTAACTTTCCTTTTCAATTTATTGAGAAAGCAATTTCTTTTTCTTTGCTACCAGACCTGTTCAATTAGTTTGACAATTCAACAATTCTGTCCTCAGGCTGCATATGCAGTGAAGGGCAGCAGATTTGTCACTTTTCGTATAAAATCTTGCACAAAATTAGCAAGTTTGGCTCAGTGGCTAGAGTAAAGGAGTTATAATTAAGAGGTTGGTGCTTTTATTTCCAATTATTTGATATTTAAAAAAAAAAAAAATGAAAAAAAGATGATTGATTACAGTTCTTCATTTGCGGAAACTCATCATGGAGGTCACCTGCTGTTTTTTTTTTTTTTATCTCTTCAATTCACCCTGTGTGTGTTAAATTCTCTAAGCATGCCTTCCTCCTTAAAAACTTTAAACTTTACTAGTTTATAAATAGCTGCTGGTGAGTTATTGGTGTAACCCACCCTCCCAAAATCAGTATTCTACAGTTTAGTCATTAAAATATTGCTTTTAGGGAGTGCCTTGTGCAACACCCCTCAAAGATTTAAACATTAGATTTAAGGGTTGTTATGAATTACTGTATTTCACCAATTATTTGTAACTCGATTTTCTCGATGTGAAATGAAGAGAAAAATTGAAATCATCCAAATAGTTTTTAATTATCTAAAATAAATTCATTTTAATATTTCATCTCTGAGAGAAGAATTTAGAAAATTGTACTCAAGGTGAAAATTTCAATTGCAAATACCGAAGCAATGTTTGTTTCATGAATGATTAACTTGGTCGTACATTTACTTAAATCCAGCTTCAGGATTGTAAAAATTAAAAAAAAAAGGTGAAAGGCTTTTGTTAAGAAAATATGTAATGATTTTGTTGATTTAGCAAACAGACACAAATTCTATACAATGGATAAATATGTCTTCCTCTCCTCAATTTGCTCACTTTACACTTTCTCTTTCTCTCTCTCTCTAAATAAAAGATTCTCTATTTTTCCACAATTCCAGTTAAAAATTTATCTTCTCTGCCTTATGGCATCTTTAAAAGAAAGACTAATGAGAAGTAAAAATAGTGTGTTTATGTATGTATGTATATATATATATATGTATATATATATATATATATATATATATATATATATAATGAAATGGACAAAGTCCGACAATTATTTTTAAGACATTTTATGTTTAACATTCTTTTTATAGATACAAATATTTAAGTAAATGCTCTGTTTATAATAAACAGTATTATACAGCATTTACCGGCTTGAATATCGGAGAAATTTTCACAGAAAATATTCATCCTCCGACAGGATTCGAACCTGTATCCTATACGGAACTGTCATTTAGCTTGACATGCCTTTACTGATTTGGCCACGAAGGAGCGTTCAGTTAGCAAGGTGGAAGATTGAAGTTTAAATACAGTAAATTCGACCTTGCTAACCGTACACTCCTTTGGGGCCAAATATATATATATATATGAAATAAATGCCTGCTTCAGAAATATTATTGCTATTAGTGTTTGAGGATCTGAGTATATCTGAAGCAGGCATTTATAAAATAAATTGCCAAAACTGCTCCTCCCAATATATTGGAGAAACAAGTAGAAATTTAAAAAAACGCATTTATGAGCACAAAAGAGACCTCACAAAAAACAACTTAGCTAATGCACTAGTCATACATAGAAATAAATTCAACCATAATTTTGATTTTAAAAATGCTACACTCATAAAAAAAGAAAATAACTCACTCAGAAGGAAAATTCTCAAGAGTGCCGCCATTGAATATTATCCAAATATTAATCTACGCCCAGGCCTTTTCCCTATTTCACCTTTAAGAGAATTACTGCTCTCCCAAAAAAATGTACACAACAGTATCAAGAAATCAAAAGAAAATGGTTGAATCCGTCAACACAACAATAAAAACAATATTTCCACATGTGACAGTAATTGACGTAATTTTCAGTTAACAGTATGAAAATGGCGTTCTCTAAATTCTTCCAGTTGTTAAGGACATTTTGTTTTTGTTAGTATTAGTTATTTTGTTTAATAAATTAATTTCCTTTTTACCTTGAAAAAGACCACATTGGACGAACTGTGTCAGCTAATATTACAGTTTCCCTATTGTCTTTTACATATATATATATGTGTGTGTGTGTGTATATATATATATATATATATATATATATATATATATATATATATACACACACACACACATATATATTCTGGGAGTTACCACAGAAATAGTGTTTAATGATTTTCCTTATAGCAAATTTATCTTGCTTATAGTCATTGTGTATCTGGTTACAGTATATTGATGTTTTGTTGTATTTTTGTTACGGGTGTCATGTCTTTTAATAATTTTAAAGAATAATTTTATTTGCTTATCAATGATGTAGTTGGGAAAATTCTTGTTGACTCATGCTTGTTTTATGTGTTTTAGTTCACTGAGAAATATTCTTTGGGAAGAGGAATTTTTGTTTGCTCAATTTATAGAGTTATCTCTGCTATTTTATATCTTTCGTGGCATTGTTTAGAATACAGGAGTTTATATTAGTAGGTTTGTTATACAGGTAAGTGGTAAATTTGTTGGATTTTAGTTCCATTTCAACATCAAGGAATGGGTTTTGTTAAGTATCATGTTTTCATAAGTGAATTTTAAACCTGAAATCTACACAAGGTATGTGGATGACATTTTCGTTTTGATAAAAACAAAAGATGAAATTGCAAACCTAAAATCAACCTTTTAAAAAAAAAACTCAACACTTAATTTCACTTATGAACTAATTAGAATTTGAGAAACAAATTATGATTTGGATATAAAGCGGAGGATCAATTCTATATTACAATTTATATAGAAACTGATCCCTCACTTTGCGGTCACAGGAGTTTCTCTACCTTTCTATTCCTGAGAATGTAAATAAATGAAAAAAGACATAAATTTTTTATTTATTTACATTCTCAGGAATATAAATAAATCCAAAAGACATGCTTACAAGAAATTATAAAGTGGGGGATCAATTCTCTATTGCGATCAATAAATAATTTGATCCCTCACTTTGTGGTCATGGTAGTTTCTATACATTTATATTCCTGAGAATGTAAATAAATCAAAAAAGACATGCCTACAAGAAATCATAATGTGGATATAAAGTGTGGGATCAATTCTATATTACAATTTATAAAGAAACTGATCCCTCACTTTGTGGCCACAGTAGTTTCTATACACTTATGTTTCTGATAATGTAAATAAATCGAGAAGACTTCCATGTGTAGCTAATCAGCATTTTATTTTATTTTATGGCTAATCAACCCTTTGTAGATTATTTGAAACGAGAAAATATTTTTTTTAGATTGTAAGAAAATTTTTTTTTTTTTTTTTTGTGATAAGAATGGTTTAGTGATACAAGCCATCTAATTAACTTAACGAACACTTACAGTTACTTTTCTCGCACTTCCTGAAAGTCAAACTCCCTTCCGTTTAGTTGCTTTCCTGAAAACTACAATCTTCAAAAATTTAAATACAACGTCAATTGTCATCTTGAACCCTATTTATTTTTTTTTCCTTTCCTCAATCCCCCTAAACCCAGTCTTTCACCTCCACCCTCTGTAACCCTTTTCATACTAGGGGCATTCTTGCTTTGCTTGGGGCGAAATGATTAAAAAAAAAAAATACTTTTCCCGAGGGTATTTGCATGTAAGTGAATATGATGAACCTCACTGGAATTGGAACTCGTCTCTCTGATTTCCAATTTTAAACAGTTATCCATTACACCACCCACACATCCAAGCTTACAGCACCTGGGATTCCCAAACAGTCACCCATCTATGTACTAACCAGGCTCTAAACCTTCTGGAAAAAGCTTCAATTAAAAGGTTAAAAAAATCTAAATGGCCTGCATGAAATCAACTCAAAATATCCAGGATATGGGAGATAGTGGCCCTCCACAATTTCCTCTCCTTTATAGCTCTTAGTAAATTTTGTTTCGTTGTTTTCTATTATTGGAGATAATTTACTGATACAAGTTCTAATTAACCCCTAGCTGGAGGAAGAAGTGGTGAACTCATACCTTTTGCTGAGGTATTAGTGTATAAGTAAATATAACGAACTCTACTGGAATTGGAACCCGACTCACTGATATTACATAACCCCCACATCCAAGCTGACAGCACCTGTTATTCACAAGCAGTCACCCATCTAAGTACTGACCACGCTTGATGTTGCTTAACTTTAGTGATTGTATGGGAACTGTTTCAATGAGGTTGGAAATTGAAGTTCTATTGCAGATGTGGTCTCTTGTTAATAGATCCAATCCTAAATCCATCTCACCCCTGTTGGAGGAACCCCTTCTTGGAGGATCCTGTCATCAGGGGTGTGGCTCTACTGATGGCGCTTGGCCAATTGTGAAGACTATTGGACTCATTGTTTATCCACCCTTTAACTGCTCTTGTTTTTCTTTTGTGCTGCTGGAGTTCCACTGTGGGAACTGGAACTTGGCCCTTGGATTAACAATTCCAAGCCATTATCCATTACACCAACGGCACTTTTCTGTCTTGATAAAAATGTATTGACGTACATTTTCTTTTGTCTTTTCAGATGTAAACATTACTTTTGTGAAAAGTGTGCTTTAGAACGATACAAGAAGTCCCGACGTTGTTTTGTATGCAATGAACAGACAAATGGAGTTTTCAACCCTGCCAAAGGTTAGTCATTGTGAAAGATATTTTTTTCATGCTTTTTATTTTTTATTTTATAAGCGGTTTTCATCAATTTTCAGCCAGGAATTGATGTCGGCTTCTCCTCCCCGCCTTTTATCATTAATACATATTTTTTACTCATAACATATTTATAATGTTTGTGCCTGTTGAGGATTGGGATTTATTTTATTCGTTAATTAAATCTTGACCTTTTCAAGTTTAGAATTAACTATCTTTCCTGTTATCTTGCCCTTTCTTATACAACTCCACATAGTAACCTTCTACTTGAGTGGCTCTTGGGCCTTGTATTGGGTAAACAATAGTAAAAAAAAAAAAAAATTAAAAAAATGAAACTCCAATGAATATTTACAATAAATACTATAGAGGAAAGTTCTACAGTCACCATAATACCTCAAGTCTCTATGAATTCCTAACTAGTTCCCAGATGTACAATTTGTCTGGGAGGGGAATAAAAATGACAACATTAATCCTGTCGTCACAAAATGTAAATATTAATTTTGTGCTTTAGAACGTTACAAGAAGTCCCGATGTTGTTTTGTATGCAATAAACAGACAAATACTTTTCAACCTGCCAAAGGTTAGTCATTGCGAAAGATACTTATTTTATGCTTTTTATTTTCTTTTTTAAGTGGTTTTTCATCAATTTTCAGCTAAGAATTGATGTTGTATTCTCCTACCAACCTTATTTTATAATTAATACTTATTTTTACTCAAAACCTATTTAAAAAGTTTCTGCCTGTTTAGGATTAGGTTTCCGGTCCCTTCTAAAATCCACTTCAACTCGATAATCCTGACGTCTTTGCCTGAAATCTGAAAATTCATTCATCAATTTTTTTCCCTCTCTCAATAGGAGTAGATAGGTTTGCCTATCATCTGGTTCACCTGCCTCCCTGTTTTTTTTTGAACAGGAGTAGAGGTTCATCCCTTGTTTAGGATTGGGTTTCTGGTTCTCTCTGAAATCTACTTCAACTTGATACTTCTAAAATCTCTGCCTGAACTCTGACATTTTATTCACTAATTAAATCTTGACCTCTTCAAGTCTAAAATTATGTCTATCTTATTATTTTGACCTTTCTTACTCTAATAGAAAGTAACTCTCTACCTTGAGTGGCTCTTGGGTCTTGTATTGGTAAGCATTAGTTAAAAAAAAAACAGTAAATAAAACAAAATGGTGCACTATACAGAGGTATTTTTTTTTTGCAGGGCTTCAGATTCATATAAAAATAATTGAGGGGTTGCACTATAAAAACAAATTGATAGAGGGACAATTTTTACAAAAAGAGTGGTCATTGAGGAACCAAAAAAAGAAGAAAGACAAGAAGCTCTCTACAGCTTGAAGAAAGAAAGCTTAGCAAATTCAACACCCACAGGACAGATTGCAGGCAAGAGAAACAAAGGAAAATAGTCCAGTTGACAAGTCTAAACAAATCGATGGAGAAACATGTGCCACAAACATAAAGGCTGGTCATAAAAGACAGTGAGTAAAGACTGAAGGAAGATGTGGAGAGACGTGAACATCCATATCCCGAAGAGACAAAGCACTTAGAGAAATTCTTTCTAACAGGTTTCCCTTGTGAATTCCTACTTTACCATAAAGCAAAAAGAGATTATGGTGGTTGAAATGGTAATATTAGACATTTCCTTATAAGAATTTGACTCAAATTCAAATTTTGCTCTCTGATTCCATTATCTGAGCCGCTGTCCATTACAATTGGGAAATTTGCAGTTGGAAAGGCAGTGGCCATATTAGAATAATGATAAATTTCTTTTTCAAAATATAGATAGGCTTTTACATAGTTTTGATAACGGATATTTTTTTCTAACTTGCAGTTAAAAGAAAAATGGGAAATAATATTTTTTTTTATCCTGTTAAGTAAAAGTTACCTTTTCGACTTTTATAATTTCTTTTGATTCTGAGGATTTATATTTTATTTGGTCGTTTATTTGGCCGCTACTACTTGGAATGTTCAAACACTGATCGGGAAGAAATGAAAAAAAAAAAAAATAAGACACACAAAAAAACCCCAGAATACAAATTTGTACTGATTAACTTTGTTTAAAGTGTCGGAGCAGGGATTAATTGCAAAAAGTGGAAATTAATTGATTTTTCTGACTTAATTAATTATGTCTGAAAGAGAATGAAAAAAGAATTTTCAATGAAAAGTTGTTTGCTATATTCAGAAAATTTTGATCTGGTAGGCCGAGAACATTCTGGTAAATCAGTCATTGATAATGAACCAATCAAAATTAATCCAGGTCACATGACATACATGTGACCTTGTAGTGATATTCCACATATCTTATATAAGTGTTATAAATCATTTGAAAAGATTTGGATATATGATTTGCTACGGTGTTTGAGATCATTGTGGTTTAACAGAGAAATATTAATGAATGATATTCTGCCTCTCCATGTATGTGTCTGTCTCGCATATGTGCCTACCTCAGCCAGCCAGATAAACACTTTAAGGAAGTTAAAACTCTGAAGACAAAATCCTGTTTATCAGCAGGTTTATTAATAAAGGAACTGTATACTCTGTGTCTAAGGAAAGTCTAAAGCAGCATTTCTCCACTGGTGCACCGAGGTGCACTAATGCATCATGAAGGGTAGCTATGTGCACCCCAAATTAACAGAAAAGTAATTTATGAATTATTTTATATTTTTAAAAAAAATCTTCATTTTTAAAAAGCTAGACACACCAAGAACATCTAATATCTTAAAAATAAATGCTTTACAAATTTATTATTTTCCTATTTTGAAATTACGGAACTAATTTTTTCTTTACTAAAATCTAAAGTGTGTCACAGATTATTAGTTATTCTACAAGTGCGTCCTGAAGTTTTTAAAAAAAGTTTATAACCATTGTTCTAAACTAAAGAAAGCTAATGTACAAAAATTATTTTGCTCCTCAAACAAAGAAACACATTTCCTTATCTTTTTATGCATGGACCAGTATATTTAAGTGGTGCCAATAATTTGATGGTTTTATATGTTCATAAAAAGGTAATAAGTTCCCCCCCCCCAAAAAAAAATTGTTGTTCTGTTGTCCATGTATGTGTCAGTCTAGCATGCCAGCCAGATAAATGCCTTATGGCTATCAAAACTGAAGACAAATTCCTGTTTGTCAACAGGTTTATTGAAGACCTAAATGGTAAAACAAGAAAAAGAAATACCAATATAATCAGCAGGGGGAAGATGAAATGTAACAAAGATGAAGACTGAAACTAAGTGAAACCGAGGGTCTTAGTGGATAAGGAAAATAGTGAATTGTTTGCTACAAGAATATATTACCATGTTGCAGTGTAAGTTTTGAGAAAGGAAGAAAGTTAAAATTTGAGAACAGTGTGTAAACAGCCGATAGGTGGCATAGATTGTTTTGTTGATTTTGTTTAGCGGCTTATCAACACCACTATGGGTTATTTAATGCGGAAATCTAAATAATTTGAACATGATTTTATGGTTTCAACTAAATGTATTTTGAACGCAATTGTATGTCTTCAACTACAGATAAAATGGATTGTTGGTCATTTTGCTTTAAAAATGGATTGTTGGTCATTTTATTATTTTTTTCTTATGCGTCCCTCGGCCAACTAAGGCAATAAAAAAAAGCATATAAAACTCTGAAGACAAAGTCCTGTTCATCAGCAGGTTTATTAAAGGAACCAAACAGTGGAACTACTGTCAAGTAAAAGTTAATCGACAGTCGACATTCATAATTCCTCCTGATTCTGTGGATTGCTATTTTATCTGGTCGTATTTTCTAAGCATTGATCTCTACCATTTGAAATGTTCAAACACTGATAGGGAAGGAATGAAAAAAAAAACACGAAAAAACTCGGAATACAAATTTGTACTGATTAACTTTGTTTAAAATGACGAAGCAGGGATTAGATGCAAAAAAGTGGAAATTAATTGATATTTTTGACTTGATTAATTACGTCTGAAAAAGAACGACAAAGGATATCTGATGAAATTATTCCGTGTCAGGAATTTATTCTATTTTTGATCAAAGATTATTTGGCATTGGGCACTTATTACATTTCAAATGAATTCTCTCCATGGCACAATTATCTTTTTCCAAGTTTAAAAATTTCTGGCTGAATGTTAACTTGAACAAACATACAATTTTTAAAAGTTGAAAAATTCTCACCAATAATTGTTCCAACCATTACGTGTATTTAGTAGAAAAGTGTGAAGCCCTAAGTCCTTTTTAACGTCATGGTTAAAACTAGTATAATAAAAGATATTATTGAACATAAAATGGGTGATCGGTTTTCTATTGTTATTATGTAATAAACTGATCCCTTATTATTACTAAATATTAATATCATTCTCTTCTACTATGTGCTGTGTTCCATCAGGATGTTGGTGATCATGGCTCTCCACAATTTCCTCTCCTTTGTAGTGCTTAATAAATCTTTGTCTTTTTGTTATCTCTCCTAAACTTCATTCTGCCATTCATTTACTCAAGCTCTTTCTTCTTTTTCTATATGCTGTGTCCCTTCAGGATGTCGGCAATCATGGCTCTCCAC